TCGTGAGAAGGTGTTAGAGGGATGGTGAAGGAGTAGGTAAATGCATAGAAGCATAAAGAATGGTTGGTAAGGGCTTGGAGGATGGATAGATGGATGGATGGATAGATGATGGATGGATGGATGGATGGATGGAGAAAAGATGGTTAAAAGGATGCTAGATAGGTGGATTGATGAATGGGTGGATGGATGAATGGGTAGGATGAATGGGATGGAGGATGGATGGATGGGTAGGATGAATGGGTAGGATGAATGGGATGGTGGATGGATGGATGGATGGATGGATGGATGGATGGATAGGGTGGATGGGATGGAGGATGGATGGGTAGGGTGAATGGGATGGTGGATGGATGAATGGGTAGGGTGAATGGGATAGTAGATGGATGAATGTGTAGGGTGAATGGGATGGTGGATGGATAGATAGGTGGATGGATAAATGTGTAGGGTGAATGGGATGGAGGATGGATGGATGGGTAGGGTGAATGGGATGGTGGAAGGATGAATGGGTAAGGTGAATGGGATGGTGGATGGATGGATGGATGGATGGGTGGAAGGATGAATGGGTAGGGTGAATGGGATGGTGGATGGATAAATGTGTAAGGTGAATGGGATGGAGGATGGATGGATGGGTAGGGTGAATGGGATGGAAAATGGTTGAATAAAAGAGGGTAGGCTGGCAGAGGGATGGAGAATGGACGGTTGGAGGAAAGATGGCAGACTGGATCGAGTCTAGATGGATGGAGGGTGGGCAGGTGTTTGTACGTGTGTACGTGTGAAGGCTGACTGGTTGGTGGACAGGTCACGGAAAGATGGCTGGACAGAGGATGGACGGATGAGTGGGTGGGGTGAGGGCAATCTGCACTGTGCAGGGCTCAGATGGGCGGTTCTGAAATGCCCCGGGTAGGAGGATGTTGGTGGCTGCCCACCTGCAAGGCAAGCCCACAGGCATGCAGGGCCCTTCATCACCCACCGTCAGGCCCTGTGAGCAAGACGCTCCTGGGGGGGGGAGGGGGGGAGGCCCTGCCAAGGCTAATATGCACGTGCCTCAGGCCACACCCCACGAGAGCCGTGGGTTTACCTTCTCAGGTGCACACGTCCCTGAGGAGCCCGGCACACGAGGACCGTGCAGGAAGGACACCAGCTGAGCCCCGGGGCTTCAGCAGTCCGTCCTCCTGTGCTTTAGAATCTGCTTCTCGTCCTCAGGGGGCAAGGGCATGCCAGTCCCATCTCGGACACAGCCCCCACTCTGTGCGGTCACGTTTTACTGCGAAGGCCCTGCTGTACCAGCTCCCGCCTGCCTCCCCGTCTTGCCCGGGTGTCGCTAGCCCCTCTGCGCGGGCCCTGGCCGTGTCGGGTTTCCAAGAGCACCAACCTGATGGGAGCTGACTGCCTCCTCTGTCTCTACCCAGCCCCACGCTTTGCCTGCTGTACCAGGTGACAGGGCGGGTGCAGGCACAGGGCATGGGGGCACGTCAGCACCCACTCTGGGGTGGGAAACCAGTGTGGGCTGGGGCTGACAGGGCCCGGAGGTCTGAAGGATGGAACAGGAGCATAGATGGCAGAGGGCCGGTGTGGTAGTTACAGAATCTGTTATCAATTTGAGAGGACCAAGAGTGAAGGGGTGGAGCTTAGCCTGTCAAACAGGTCGCAGCTTGATGACCTCATTTGGAGGCGGGACACAAGCTCACTCCCTGGTGGACATTCCTGAGGATAAGACACGTGGAGCTAAGCTAGAGCCACGTGGAGACCCCTGCCAGTGCTGAGATGCTTCCACTGCCACAGGATTCACAAGACTTCCCACCCACTGGCCTGTGATCTTCCTGCATTCGGCCTCATTGCATGTGTTTCGTGAGTCTGAAGAGGACTTCACAGATAGTTATCAGGCATATGGGCTAATCTCGGACTTAAGAACTTGATCTGGACTGGGCTGGGATGTTTTCTTAACGTACAATTACTCTTTATACAAAGCTCTTTCTTATACACACGAGTGTCTTCATGAATTTGTTTCTCTAGTCCACCCAGACAAACACAGTCAGCCAGGCAGCCTGCAGCCAGAGGGAGGTCCTCTCTCAGAGAGCCATCCCAGCTGGTGAGGTCACCCCTGAGGCACCCACCTGGGAACACTGTGCAGATACAGCAGGAGGCGGGTCAGCTCGGCACGAGAGGCCTGCTCCCCAGTCCAGGATGGGCCGCCTGTGCACACCTGCACCACCGCCCGGCCGCAGCGGTCCCGAGTCCCTGTGGGGACAGAGACGTGATGAGTTTGGGCTGAGTCTGGGGGACCCATCCACAGAAGACGGGGCTGCTCACCTGGAAGCATCACAGCACCCACATGCAGCAGTGCCGATATGTCACCCCACGCCTGACCGGGCGCCCCAAGTTCGGGGGTCCCGGCACCCTTGGGGCCCAGCAGCTTGTCAGAGCAGGTGCCAGGCACCAGTCCCGGGGAGCTGGTGGAGGCGAGGGGAGCACCTGCCAGGAAAGACAGAAGTCTGTGAGGGGAAGCATCCCACCAGGAGGCAGGAAGTCCCCAGTCACCCAGAGCCCGTCCCAGACCAGGCTCAGAGGTTAGGGAGGAGGAGGCCTGCACACAGGAAGGGCAGGGTGGGGGTGGGACACGGGGTGCCCCTGGGGAGGACAGAAAGCAAAGCCATGAAGCACCCTGTGGAGGAACTGCTGATGGAAAACAGATCAGCGCTGCACCTTCAGCCAGCTCACAAGGAAAAGGTTTTGCAAATTAAATGGGTCAACTCCCCCCAAACCCCCCAACTATCATGACCCCAGTTCTACCTTACAAATCCAGCTAAACCAGAGCATGTACACAGGTACAGATAAGAGCTCTCGACACCGAATCCAGGACAGGTAAACCCCTCAGGACCAGTAATGGAAGTAGCAATACCATGAGGGTAGGGGAAAGGTGGAGAGGAGAAAGGGGAACCGATCACAATGATCAATGTGCAATCCCCCACCCCCACCCCAGAGGGACAAACAACAGAAACGTGGGTGAAGGGAGAGAGCGGATGGCGTAAAATATGAAAATAAAAGTAATTTATAAATTATCAAGGGTTCACGAGGGAAGGAGGGTGGGGGAGAGAGGGGACAAGAGTTGCTGATACCAAGGGCTCAAGAAGAAAGAATATGTTTTGGAAATGATGATGGCAACCTATGTACAAATGTGCTTGATACAATTGAGGATGAATTGTTATAAGAGCTATATGAGTCCCCAATAAAATGATCTTTAAAAAAAAAAAAAGAGGGAGAAAGAGAGGCCGTTGGGGGGATCTTCCTCTGAGGCCCGAGGGCAGTTAGCCGTCAGCTCAGCAACACTGACGCCGGAGGAAATCCCGGGGTCCCTGAAGGTCCCTTGAGGGAGACCGGCCATACCTGGAGGCACAGCTGCCCCGCCTGGAAGCAGGACGGGGATGAACGATCTTTAACGATCACGGTTTCCATCTTGTCATTGGGAGCGGCATGGGGGCAAGTCCGTCTCCACAGCTCACCCAAGCCTGGGACCAGTGTGTGGGGTGTGGGCTGTGCATGTACCTTCCACCTCCTGGGGGCTCTCCGGGTTCCCCACGGCCACACAGCTGCCAATGGTTCCCGTGCCAGCGGCCTGACCCCCAGGGCGACCCTCGGGCTGGTGGCCTGCTGGGTCACTGGTCTCCTGTCGGGTCTTGAGTTTGTTGCTAAGGGGGCTCCGCAGGGGCTTGTCCCAAGACCTGGACCTCCTGGATGCTGTGACTGCTCTGTCCGTCTGCAGGTGGCTCTCCCGGGGCGTCCTCTGCACAGGGCTGGTGGCCACCTTGGGTCTGGTGCCTGGGGTCAAGGGTCTGGCTGCTTCGCCCACAGCCTCGTCCAGGAGGGACTCCTCGGAGCTGGCGCCCAGAGGGACAGGGTTTCGAAGGGCTTCCACGTAGGACTTCCGGAACCAGCGCCCCCCAGAGCCTGGGCTGGGCCCACCAGCATAGAAGGCCTCGGGGCTGCCCCTCCCGTCCAGGAGCCCCGGTCCTCCTCGTGGCCCCCCAACACCTTCGTCAGAGCTCTCCCTTGGGGCCGGGGGGCCTCGGCCTGGACACCCGCTGGGGGGCTGCAGGGTGGAGGTGCCCTGCTGGGAACGGGGACCGGCCATGGCCGGGGTGGGGGTCTCCGGGACGCTGTGGAGCTGTGGACGCTCAGGCCGAGGGCGGCCCTGTGGGATGAAGGCCGGGTCCAAGACCCTGTCCCATTGGGCGCAGTGGACACTGGGGCTGGTGGCCAGCAGGCAGCTCTGCAGGGGGAAGCTGCCCTGCACGGCGCTCACCGGCTCCAGGAGCTCTCCTGGGAAGACATGGCCGGACATGGCCACAAGGACAGGGACATGCTCCTGCCCTGCCCTTGCGGGAGGGGACCCGCCCCAACCAGCTTGGCTGCCAGTAGGTCCTTGGCCACCACCTGCATGTGCAAGTCACCGGGCCCAAGCTGGACTCCTCGGGGAGCCACCAGCTGCACCACCACCTTCTCTCGGACACCTGGTGGCCGACTGGCCTGCAGTATGCTGGGCCTGCGACAGAAGACAGGAGAAAAGCCAGGTTAGCAGGCAGGGACAGACTGGACAGACCACCTGGAGGCCCCAGCAATCTAGCCTCAACATCCCCAGGTCTCCACACCAGATCCTGCCTAAGAGTCCCCGTCATGATTTCTCAGAGGGGTCAAGAGCCAGCCCAGCCGAGCTCACTGCCCCTCACAACCGAGGGGAGGGGAGCACCTGGGCCCATAACCCCTATTACCAGCCCTCCATCCCCAAACATACCCCATGAATGATCAAGCCCCTTCAGCAGGGTACAGCCCCACCCCTGTGCACAGGACAGCCAGCTAGGGCTACCCCTGGGCTTGTCTGTTTTGGGGGGTGCAATCCAGCCCCCCAGTTTAAGAAAACACCCACCCCTCAACTCCGCAGTGACAGTGCCCTCAGTCTGCGTGCCCCCCAGCAGCGGCCGGGCCTCTGGGCTGCGTGGTGTCGGGTCTCAGGGCGGGCGCTTCATCTCCACACCCAGGGCCTTCGGACAGCCTGTGTCCTGCCCCGGGCTGTGAGCTTGGCATCTGGGAGGGGCTGGGCTGGTGGGGCACCAGCCCAGGGTTCATGCCAAGGTGGTGCCTTCAGCCCCTCTGTATTGCATGCAGCCTGGCTGCCCGCCTCTCTCTTACTCTGCATCCCTCCCAGCCTGTCTCTGTGCATGCGTGTTCCCTCTCATGTGTCTCTGAGCCTCTAGTTCTCTTTCTATGTGTATGCCTCTTTATTTCTGTCTGTCTGTCTGTCTTTCTCTGTTCAATTCTCGCTGTGTCTCAGCCTCATTTCTGTGTCTCTCTCTTAGCCTCTTGACTTCTGTTTCTCTCTGCGTTTCTCAGCCTATTTGTCTCTGTATCTCTTTCTCAGCCTGTGCGTGCGTGTGTCCCTCTCTATTTCTGTCTCCCACGCCAGGGTTGGGGGGTAGGGAGCTCTATCCGTGGAAAGGTGCAGGGCAGGCAGGTCCGGGCCCAGGAGCTGTGGCCCAACGGAGCCTGGGCCTGTGACGTGGCGACAGTGCCCTGGGATGAACAGCAGGTGGCAGCAGAGACCCGCGTTGTCTGCATCTTGGGCAGAAAGGAAGGGACAGAGGGGAGGGAGGTCTCTCTCCACAGGCCCTATACCTAGACGTTGTGTTAGCATCTCACAAATGCCCGGGGTCCCCACACTCTGGGCCCCAGGATGTCAGGCACTAAGTCTAACTCTAACCCTGGGGGTAGGGGGGCAGAGCAGCTCTGTTCTCGATCCCGGGAGCCCGTTGTCACCAGGCCATGCACAGGGTCAGACCCACAGCCACCGGGCTGGGCTCCCCTCCCCTCAGCCAAGCACAGGGCCCACGTGCATGCCAGAGTTGGGGATCTCCACCCTCCCGGCCACCCCTCACCACAGGGGGGCAGCCTTCAGAGGCCTGATGTGGAAAGGAGGGAGTGTCCGCACTGCCATGTGGCTGGCCCTCTGCCTCCTGTTCCCCACCCCGACCAGACACAGTGCCCACACGGCTGAAGCCTGGCCCACTGCCCAGCAGACAGGCAGGGAGAGGTGGCTTGAAGCACTCGTCCCAGGGAGTCTCCTCCAGGTTGGACAGCGCCATGGGCCCCAGGGGCGGGGTGGGGTGGGGTGGCAGCGAACTGCCCACGAGAGGTCAGGCACCAGTTGCCTTTCTCTGAGCCTTCCCCAAGGCTGCTCTCCTGACCCCGAGAGCTGGGGCAGCCCTGGAACTAGGGAAGGGGTCCGAGGGGCGCTGACTTCATGCCCCACACCATCCTCGGAGCCCCATGCACCCCCCAGCGCCCACATGCTCCCTTCTATGGTTTACCCAAGGCTGAGACGAAGCGAAACTTTTCTGCCTTAAGATGAGATCATGACGAATGTTCCCACAGTTCCAAACACCATCAGGGGGCGCAGTGCATTGGGCAAACCTCTTTGGAGGGCGGAAAAGCAGGGACGGGCCTGACCCAAATCATGGTCTTTTCAGTGGCTCCGGATGCCCGTGACAGTGGGACACGGAATAAGGAAGACGGCCGGATGCATGACGGTGCTGGGGAGGAGTCGGAAGCCCCAGGGATTGCCTGAAGAACCACACCCCCTGTCTTGGAAGGACAGCCAGGAGACTCCCCAGAGGCAAGGGTGGGGCTACTGTGGGTACGTGGTCAGTCCCTGGAGAAGGACAGACACCACACATGACAAAGTGGAGGGGCAGCGAAAAAGATGGATGGGCACAGTGGCTACAATGGGCTCACACTGCTCTGGCAGGCGGGGCCACCCTGAGTCAGCTCACCACCACAAAGCTGGGCGCTTCACTCTCTCGGCCTTACTTGCCTGGGGGGCCTCACGGTTATTCCGTTTCCTGGGTCCCCCCCAAAAAAACATTCTCACCGCATGACGTTCTCGCGGACCACCCAATGTTCTCTGCCCCAGGTCCCCCTGGAGGTGCTAGGTCCCCTTCCACCATCCTCCTGGACTGGGGACCCCTCCTGCTGCTGAAGGTCTCCCACCGGCCTCCTGCTGCAGGCGCTGCAGCATCCTCTGTGTCCTCCAGCCGGGACGAGGGCGTCACAGCTACCTGAGGACCGTGGCTACTGTGGCCTCACAGAGCAGGTGGAGGACAGCGAGCGTGCTCTGGACATGGGCGTCCAGGGGCTCCCCGTCCTGGGACAGATGGGTGCAGATGCACAGGCCAGCTCCGCAGGTCCAGTGTTCACACCCCGGCCCCGGTGGGTGTGGATGTACCCAGCCTGCAGACCTCACACTCTGCCCTGGAGGCTTGGGGGGGGGGAGGGGGCTCAGGGATTGAGGGTGAGAGAACACCAGGCGCCTCCCAAGCCCCCAAGCCCAGCCCCCCAAGCCCACACCTTATGCTGCACTTGGAGATCGCCCTGGGATGCGGCCACCTGCCGGCCCCACGCTCCTGGTCCGACTTGGCGGACAGTCCGTAGCCACGCAGCCCTTCCTAATCAGGCGGGACAGAGAGTGGGGTCATGAGGGCTCAGTCCTGAGACCACCTGCCCACTCGGCCACCCTGTCTGGTCTCCCGGACCAGCACATTTTCATGCGATGAAGGAATTGCTTTCTGTTGGAAACTCTGAGGGCTATTTCGGGATGTGAGATTTCCTGAGGAAATGCCAGCAGAGGGTCCAGGGAAATGCAAGGCTGGGAATAATGAGTGGAAACCGAAAGGGCTAAAAGCAGGACCCCGACATCTAAGGACAGCAGTTGTCCTCAAAGTTTCCCTGGACGATCACCAGCATTCCCAAAGAAGGCGGCAGCAGGGCAGGGAGAGTAGCACGCAGGGACAACACACACTCAGACTGGCAACATCTGTGGGAGGACAGGAAGGAGTGGTCATTCATCCGACTGTGGTCCCCAGGGTCAGCAGTTTTAAAGCAGCAGCCCCTCGGAGGAAGGAAGACGATAAAGAGCCATGGTCTGGGAAACCCAGAGGCGGTGCTGCCCTGTCCCCTCGGGTGGCTGTGAGTTAGCATCCACGGGTGGGAGTGAGTTTGTTCGCTTTGTGGGAAGAGACTATGGAGAAGCAGCTCAACACCAGCCAAAGTGAGGCCAATGTCCAGCTTGTGGACCAGACCGTCAATTGCTCACATGCAGGTTCAGGTTAAAGCTGAAGAAACTAAAACAAGTCCGTGGGAGTCTAATTATAGGACCCGACAGAATGCAAGAAATTATCGAACCACAGTATCGATGTCTCACACAAGTAAGATTTTGTTGAAGATCACGATCTACTGCAGCAGAACGATGACAGGGGCTGTTGGAAATTCAAGGTGGACTCAGAAGAGGACGTGGACGCAGGGACGGCTGCTGACGTCAGGTGGACCTTGGAAGAATGCAGAGAATACCAGAGCCATGTTTCCTTGTGTCTCCTTGACTATGCAAAGGCATTCCACTGCGTGGACTTACCAAGCTATCCACAGTCTTGAGAAGAATGGGGATTCCCGGACACTTTACTGTGCTCTTGGGAAACCTGGACCGGGGTCTGGAGGCAGTTGTGTGACCAGAACAAGGGAACGGTGCGTGGTTTAAAATCAGGAAAGGTGTGTGTCAGGGATGTGTCTTCTCACCACTCTTGCTCAGTCTGTATGCTGAGCAGATCATCAGAGGAGCTGGATGATACGAAGAAGAAAATGGGATCCGGATTGGAGGAAGGCGTAGTAACGACCTGCAGTGCGTAGAAGACGTGAGGACTTAAAGCATGAAGCACGTGCTGACGAAGATCCAGGGCTGCAGCCTTCAGGATGGATCTCAACTCGGTGTAAAGACGACCCACATCCTCACAGCTGGACCAGCAGCCAGCATCATAAATGGAGAAAACACTGAAGTTGTCAAGGATTTCACTGGAGGAACCCCAGTGGTGTGAAGGTTGGATCACAAACCATAAGGTCAGCAGTTCAAAATGACCAGCCGCTCCGAGGGAGAAAGGTGAGGCTTTCTACTCCCACAGAGATTGCCCACGGCGTCGGAAACCCCCAGGGTGGATCTGCTCTGTCCTGTGGGGATAGTGAGTCGAATCGGCGCTAAGGCAGTGAGTTTGTTTCGTGAGTGAGAGGGTTTCTTGCTGCCTGGTCCCACAGTAACACTCATGCACACAGAAGCCAAGAACTCAAGGGCTGCCAGGCTCGGGGCAAACCAGCTGCACAAGGTCCCTCGGAGGGGATGAACAGTGGGGGTCACACTGCGGGCCAAGGGGTGCCAGACTTAAACCCTGGCATTTTCTTTTCTTTAACAAATCATTTTATTGGGGGCTCTTGTAGCTCTTATAACAAATAATCCATGCATCAATTATATCAAGCACATTTGTACATATGTGGCCATCATCCTTTTCAAAACATTTTCTTTCTACTTGAACCCTTAGTATCAGCTCGGTTTTTGCCTCTCTCCCCCATCCTTGATAATTTATAAATTATTATTTTCATATCTTACACTGTCTGCTGTCTCCCCCACCCACATTCCTGTTGTTCGTCCCCCTGGGGGGAGGGTTGTTTTACATCAGTCATTGCTATCGGTTTCCCCCTTCTCTCCCCACCTTCCCCCTCATTACTGTTCCTCAGGGGTTTATCTGTTCCGGATTCCCTGTGTTGCGAGCTCTTTATCTGTACCAGTGTACATGTTCTGGTCTAACCAGATTTGTAAGGTAGAACTAGGGTCATGATAGTTGGGGGAGGAAGCATTAAAGAGCTAGAGGAATCTTGTAGGTTTCATCGGTGCTACACTGCACCCTTCCTTGTGACCCTTCTGTGAGGGGATGTCCAGTTGTCTACAGATGGGCTTTGGGTCTCCACTCCGACCCCCTCGTTCACATCCACGTGTTTGTTTTGGGTCTTCTGATGCCTGATACCTGATCGCCTCGTGATCACACAGGCTGGTGTGCTTCTTCCAGGTGGGCTTTGTTGCTTCCCCAAGCCCTGGTATTGCCAAGCACCTCCATGCACACGAGTAAGAAAGACCAAAGGAGAACATGCCGCATTCGAATCATGGCGGAAACCATTGAAAGCCTCACGCTGTGGTTGACCACGGCCCCTGTGCCTGAGCCCCAGGATGCAGCCACCGGGCCAGCCCACCTCGCTGAGGGGCTTCCTCTTTGTTTTCATCGCCCCTCCACTTGACCAAACAGCATGTCCTTCCCCAGGGACCAGTCTCTGCTGACAACATGCCCTTCATAAGTAAGAAGAAGTCTCGCCATCCTCGCTGGCTCTAAGGAGCAGTCTGGCTGCGCTTCTCCCAAGACCGCTCTGCGTCCTCTGAGCAGTCATGGTGTGCGCAATGTTCTTCTCCGGAAACACGCCGTGGTGGTGGAGGAGGCACCCCAGGCTGGCTGAATGACAAACGGGCCTGTGTTGGAGAAAGGTTGTTCCTGACTAGTTAGGATGCCCAGGCTCCAGCTCGCAGACTCCGACGTGGTCTCAGAGAGACCCGTCGCTGGGGAAGGGCACGATGCTTTGGTGAAAGAAGATGGCTTGCAGGGACAGACGCCGTGGCTGCCACGCGGCTCACACAGATCAGCACTCCAGAGGAGGGGCAGAGCCCGGCGGTGTTTACTCAGTTGTATGCAGCCGACACAACAGCACCTCACCAGTCAGGATTTACCACGCCCCGTGCTCGCCTGCACGGCTGTCTGTGACTTCTCTCACCCACGGTCACCTGGGCACACTCAGGTGTGGCCCACCTTGCCCACTGCGGCAGAGCCCGGTGGCCAGGCCGAACTGCATGGCCCCAGTGCCTGACACTTCACCGGAGGGGGGGGGGCTGGACAGAGCAGGCAGATGGGCCCCACCTCACTTCTCCTGTGGCAGGCTGCAAGGGCCTGTGTCTTCCCCGCCAGTCTCCTCACCGGAGAGGGGAGGGTCTGCCACCACAAGTAGATGGGAGGCCCCTCCCTGGCCCCTCCGGCTGACCTCGGGGTGAAGACGTCAGCCCTGCTGTCTCTGGGCTCCAACTCCTGGTAGTGCCAAGGCCAGTGCATGTCTCCCGTGGCTTCCACCGACCTGCTGGGACCTGCGAGCGATGGGCGCCGTGGACGGTCCCAGCCCCCAGCCAGCGAAGGGGTAGTGGCCACTCCTTCTTCCTCTCCAGGTCAGTGTGCTGACATGTCTCCAAGGGGCCCCTCACGTCCCCAGGGACCCCTGCTAGCATCTGCACCTCTGTGGGCCCTCGGGTAACGGGGAACATGCCGAGGACCTGCAAAGGTAGAGGCGAGCAGGCCCCTCCCAGTGGACGCACCGCCCGACGACCAAGAGAAGATGTCGGAGGCCAGAGGACCCCTCACCCCACCCGAGGCCTCGCAGTAGGGCTGGGGGCGTGTGGAGACCAAGAGACACTGGTCAACTCGGCCCAGACCCAGGGCCTGCTCAGCCAAGTTCATAATCCTGAACAACCCCCGAATTTGTGTGGAGACGTGTTCTTGGGGAGACCACCCAGGGGCTGCCTCTGCAGCAGCTCCACGCCCCCAGGACATCTGTCCCTGGGGTTCCCAGGGGGCCCCGTGCACGTCTGCTTAGAGATCAGATGCGGACTCTCCAGGGATTTCACTGAACGTAACCCTCTCCCTTCTGCAGAGAAGCCGGAAGGAGAGCAAAGCTGGTGCCCAAGGATCAGCCCTGAGCTCACAATGAGCTTTTCAACCCAGGTCACGGCCTGACCAGGCCTGCACCCACCTTCCTCCTGCAGACCCTGCGGGTTTCTCTCTAGGGCCTGACCTTGTAGGGTGCCTCAGGGAGAGGCCTGGTGGTCCAGCGGTGAAGCACTCGGCCGCTGACAGGGAAGGTCCGTGGTCTGAACCCACCAGCCACTCCGAGGGTGAAAGATGAGGCTTTCTACATCTTTAAAGAGT